AAGTGGGTGGGTCATAGTTTTGGAATGAAATAAATTGTTACCCTGAACGACCGTAACGAAAACACAGGTAGACGGAAATCGAAATTTTAACGCACCTTTACTGGAGATAATTTATTGAATGCAGCAAGACCCAGCGATCGGAGCATCACAATCGGAGCAGCATTCGTTCGATACAAACGATTTAGCCAATCGCACAAGACCATGACAGGAAGATTATGTCGTTGTGCACTTGTGTCAAACTCTTTCAAGTATGTTAACGCACCTGAACTCATCGTTCATAAAACAGTCCAATAACAAAAACTCAAAACGCAGTTTCTCATTAACAGAAGAAATAGGCCCAATGTTTAACACATTAACGATAGTGTAGCAGCCAGTTTATCCGCTCTTAGAACATCAAGACAAATATGTATGCCGCACCCATATGATTCTTTTTTTTCAGGCATGCGCGATTCCTACCAGGCTTTTTTGTGTTCATCTGGAGATAATATTAACCCTGTTATGGACGGCGTGGTTTGAAGGCAGAATTTGACGATGAAAAGTTAGCTCATTGGAAATAAGGTAGAGGTGGTCAGTGGAGCAGGGATGAAGAAGAAACCATTTGAAACGGCCCGAAACCCGAGAAATGGGACCCCTTCCTTGCCCGTTGATTTGCGCATTGATGCGACTCTCATCGCTGTGCCCTCTTCAACACTACGCTCTCTCTGCTATCTAATCACTCGCCACGTATAGACCTGCGGCGAGTGATTAGATAGTCGGTGGGCGTACCCCGCCAACCGCGCCAAGAGTGAGCCATGCTAGATCGCCGAGGTCAAATCTTTCGCTGCCAATTGCGCGTCGGTCAGCACCCTCAGGAGGTCCGCCTGTCTCCCAACTATGCAATTTTCCCCTTCTTTGACCTTCGTTCTTATCGTGAATTCCTCCTTTGAAGAATAACCAAATAAGATTTTTCAGTAGAGTTTCCAAAGCCTTACGCAAATGCTAGCTCAATTCACTCCTTGTCTTCTTTTCATTGTTATAAAATTATGACGTGCAATGCACAGTGCTTCCAATAACGAGCAAACTTCCGCCGAATACTTCGACCACAACTACGGTCAGCAAAACGTCTCAAAGTGTTCAACTGCACGAGACAAGTTATGCTGACTTTATGAGCTCCGACAGGCGCAGCCTTCCGAGTCCGGGCAGGATGAACAGAATACTCAGTGGAGGGCCTCGGCCGCACATCGCGGGACACTTCGCAAAACTAGAACTAAATGGGATGCTGAGCTATTCTGCCATTATCGACAATTTTGTGCTTTCCAACCGCACCATGATACCCTTTCCTTACCTTTTTGAGGCTTAATACGTCAAAAACCCATCTTAGATGGATCTGGGCATGCGGGGTATGCCTTTCGATGCATAATAAACATGAACAAGTTGTGCTAGAACCCCAAAACCCTTTCCCGGAGCCCGAATTTCAGCGGCAGCGGCTGAGCTTGAACCAGTGGAAGAGCAGGATGATTATATTTTTTCGTAGTTGGCAGACGCTGCAATTCCAGAATATTTTTATTGCGAGGGAATGGGTGAGTCAAGGATATGTGGCATTCGATGGATAGGTCAACAACGGGGTGATAACTTTCCTTTCAGTCTAATAACTTTCACTATCGTGGAGTTTCAGGATCCTCTTGAGACGCATGTTCAAACCCCGTAATTACCCAAAACCATGCATTCACCAAGCGCACCTCTCCAACCCTCCGGGTCATGTCCACCTACTTTTACCTAGATGCTTGCCAAATGAACGCACAACAACACACTATATCGCATGAGATTTATGCATGATTAGAGATATCAGATTGATTATTCAAGAAAAGCTGTTCAGAGTAAACTAACCGAGGTCCGCTCCATGCTCCGATGCGCGAGTAAGCACATTATTGAGCACTGCCACTCATTCCATCCTAGATTCACACCTGCCCAGTAATGGAATAGGCTAGCGTGAGCAGCATCTCAATTAAACACATCGCGGTAGCACATATCTGAATAAAAGCAGATTCTGAGAGCGTTACATTTCTATTGTATAAACTGATTAGAAAATTTTTAAATTACTTTAGATTATTTAGATTGCTTGGTCACTACCGCAAAAGGGGTTACAGTCGCAAGATAGTACAAGAAAGCAAGTATACACTCCCAAGTGATGTATGATTTGTTACTTTATTCTGCTATTTGGGCGGACGTGGGTGTAGTGGCAGTGGCGGAGCGGGGACCAGATCTGGCGGGGTCGCGAGGTCGCCCGGGCCACCAAGTTTCAATCCCCCGGGTCAGGGAAATCGGTTTCCAGAAATTGTTCTGGGGGTAAAAGCACTGGCTTGTACATCGGCTGGCCCCGCAGTTCATTGTATAGGCCACTTCGCATTCAAACGCCACTACGAATGTATTTGGAAGTAGAATACGTGTCGCATCAAAATGGGGGATTATATGAAATATGTTCAATCGTATAACTTCGTGGTGAGTCCGCTCTCGTGGTGCACGGAACTGCTCACTTTTGTGAGCTGAGCTGATCGCGGACATTCGAATGCAGGCGACAGGCCCTCGTGACAGGCCGGCCTACGAACACCCACGTCACATCAAAAATGTCAATGTCGCCATATGATTCTCGAGATAATGCTACGGCGTCCGCGGGAGCCGACGCGCACTCGCAAAGCCCGGCGAGTGTGAAAAGTATGCGAGGGTCCTCGGTGCAAGGACGGCATCGGGGGGCAACTAGGCTAGTCCAAAAGTCCCGCAACGTATGCAAGACTCGCGTCGCAACGTTGAATGTTGGCACGTTGTCGGGCCGCTCTTTTGAGTTGGTAGAGACACTGGAGCGCAGACGAATTGATCTCTGTGCTGTGCAAGAAACGAGGTGGTCCTGCTGCAAATCGAAGGACCTTGGCCGTGGCTTCAAAGCCATTCTTTGCGGCAGTCCCGGGACAACTAACGGTGTCGGTGTTATCGTTTCTGAACGTTTCCGTGACTCGATTGTCAGCGTTGAACGTTACGATGACCGCCTAATGAAGATCGTTGTCGCTTTTGAGCAACGTCAATATCACTTCTTCTCTGCGTACGCTCCGCAGACAGGCTGCTCCGAACACGCCAAGGACCAGTTCTGGGCCTTGCTGGATGACAAAACAGCTGATGTACCATCGCAGGATGCCCTAATTGTTGCCGGTGACCTAAATGGTCACGTGGGGGCTACGAAAGATGGTTACAGCTGTCATGGCGGATTTGGGTATGGGTCACGAAACGCCGATGGCGAGAGAATTCTAGAGTATGCAAACTCGCACAACCTCACCATCGTGAACACAAACTATCGCAAACGTGACTCCCACCTCATCTCGTTTTACAGTGGGGATACCAGAACGCAAATTGATTTTGTCCTCGTCAGGCAGCGTGATAGAGGGCTAGTGACGGACGCGAAGACGGTGCCGTACGAGACGGTCGCCACGCAACACCGACCACTGATCTGCACCCTGAGGATCACTCCTCCGAAAGTAAAGCAAGTTGAACGGTGCGGGCCTGCAAGGATCAAGTGGTGGCGACTGAAAGAAAAAGAATCTGCGCTGTTTTCCCGCATTCGCTTACCGACAGTAACGACCGTCGACGAAACGTGGGAAAGTGCCACCGAAGCGATAGTCCGTGTCGCTCGCTCCGAACTCGGCACCACAAAGCCTGGGCGTCGGAAAATTGACAAACAAACATGGCTGTGGACGGATACTGTCAAGGAAAAACTGCGAGAGAAGAAAAGATTCTATCATACGTTCCTCAACGACAAAACAGCCGAGAACTGGGAGAACTACCAGAAGGCGAAGAAGGCTGCAAAGAAAGCCGTGGCTATCGTCAAAGCTGCTCACTTCGCCAGCGTTAGCGAGAAACTCGAGACGCGCGATGGCGAACGATATGTCTACAGACTAGCCAAAGCTCGCCATCGCCAAACCGAGGATGTCGAGAAGTTTTTCGGCATTAATGACGAGAACGGGCGGCTCCTAATGGACCGCAAGAAGGCAGTAAAGCGATGGCACGACTACTTCGAAAGAATCTCGACAGTAGAATTCTCACATCCGCCAATCCCTTCTGCCCCTCCCGTCTACGGTCCCGTCTCGAAGATAACTGTGGAAGAAACTGAAGCGGCGCTGAAGAAGATGAAGACAGGTAAAGCAACGGGTCCCGACGACTTGGCAGCCGATCTGTGGAAGTCACAGTGCTGGCATCCTGCGGAGTGGTTGACGAAGTTCTTCAACCAAGTTGTTGCAGAAAAGAAAGTGCCTGCGAGTTGGGTGCCAGAGCACGACGATTCCCATCTGGAAAAAGAAGGGCAGCCCCGCAGACTGCACGAGCTACCGCCAAATTCGTCTACTTTCCCACGCCATGAAGATATTTGAGCGAATTATAGATCGTCGTATTCGCGACATAGTGCAGCTCGCCACGAACCAGTGTGGATTTGTAAGCGGCGTTAGTACCATCGATGCCCTACATGCCGCTCGTCTACTATTAGAAAAACATCGCGAGAAACGGAAGCCTCTGCATTTTGCCTTCCTAGACTTAGAAAAGGCTTTCGATCGCGTTCCGCGTGATGTAATATGGTACGCTCTGAGACAACGTGGCGTCCCCGAAGAACTTATTGAGTGGGTTCGCATGCTATACTCGAGCTCAAAGAGCCGAGTGCAAACGTCAGCAGGAACCTCAATGGAATTCCCCATGTTGGTAGGCGGAGTTGGGGTGCACCAAGGGTCTGCACTATCCCCACTCCTTTTCGTTGTCGTCATGGATGCCATATCACGAGACCTCCAGAAACCGGCTCCATGGACGCTCCTCTATGCCGATGACGTGATGCTCGCCTGCGAAGACAAAAACTCACTCGAGCAGCAAGTGCAAGCTTGGGCCGATCGCCTAGCGATGTTCGGACTCAGGTTGAATGTCAAAAAGACCGAGTACTTGACAACCGACTTGAGCGAAACACAGTTCGGTAAGAATTAACGGCACAGAGCTATCACGCACGACCACGTTCAAGTATCTTGGATCGGTAATAGCGTCAGATGGTAGTATGGGTACTGAAGTGAGTTCACGCGTGAGTGCTGCATGGTCCAAGTGGCGTTCTATGACGGGTGTTCTCTGCGACAAAAAGATTCCAGAACGCCTGAAATCGAAGATCTATAGAACCGTCATAAGACCGGTGGGCAATGTACGGCGCTGAGTGCTGGCCCACGACTAAGGAAATGGAAGCCCGCCTCGGTGTAATGGAGACGAAAATGCTGCGCTGGACGGCTGGTGTCACGCGTTTAGATCGTATTTGTAATGATACCATACGCGATCGCTTTGGTGTAGCTCCTATTGCTGATAAGATGCGGGAAGCTCGACTTCGATGGTATGGTCATGTGCTTCGTGGAAACGATGACACTGTGCGTAAGATGAGCCTCAACATCGATGTGCCCGGCAAACGGCCTAAGGGACGTCCAAAGCAGCGCTGGCTTGATACATTGCATATGGACTTAAAGTTAGCTGGTATCCATCCCGATCAGGCATTCAATAGGGAAAAGTGGCGTCAACACATCAGAAAAGCGGACCCTGCCACCAGGCGGGACAAACGCTAAAGAAAAAGAAGAAGAAGAAACACTGATATTCAGCGCTCAGAGTTGGCGATCGTACATGCGATTAGGCGATAAGGCAGCCAACGACGAGGCTAATAGGTGATCAGGCGAGTGGTCGAGTAGGCGATAAAAAAGGATACGTATCGACAAGTCCACTCGGCAGTCGGCTAATCGCCTTTCCGCCCGCTACACGACCGATCGATACGTATCTATTTCCTTGTAGAATAATCGCCTATCTCCTAATCGCACGTACGATGGCCAACTCTGAGCGCTGCCTTAAAGTTCATCTTTATGTACAATAAATGATGAACGCTGTAAGCAAATTGGACTTGCTTATGGTGATATTTACACGAATGTTTGAGGATAGTAAGATTTCATGAAAAAAAAAACTCAGGTAAGGACAACGAGATGCCAGTGGGCAGCGCGATTCGAAGTAAATATATTTCTGTTAGTGGAGGATTTATGCGCTTAGGCAGGGGAGAGTCGGCAGGCGTGCATATTGAGTTTTGTACTCGCTGGTATTCACCGCCTCCGTCTCAGGCTTAGTTCTACAGAGGATGCCCCCCCCCTATATTGCGACAACGCCATGAAATCGTTCCAACAAAAGGCAACGAAGTAAAGGGATAAATGGTGATTAAATCGTGGGATATGTCCCATAAGTTGGCTCTTTTCTCTGGGACGTATGGTTGCGCTTACAAGGGAGGTCTTTCAGGCCAAGCCGCGCTTTTTGAAAACGGTTTCTTGCATGCTCTAGGGACGCATGCACAGGGAGCGGGGGAGGGGGCAAAACAAGTCACTCTCATTTACTTTCAGAACAGATTTAATTACACTTTGCCGAAACCACCGAATGAGCTCATCATATCAACATTCTTCTTCAAATTTTTCATTTCCAACGATATTTGAAGCAGTGAAGTTTCTGTTTTGTTGAAGTTCTATGTGCGCCGCTGTAGACCCCCGAGAGTCCTCAAGCCAATTGAAAAGCGAGCAAAACTGTGAAATCAGGAGGATCGCTGTGAAGATGTCTACTTCTTATCAATCTAACATAGGGTCAGAACGTTCTGTTATTCAGCTCAACGCAATTTCACTAGTATGACACTTACGTATGAGAATGTCCGAAGCCGAGTGGGAAGGCTGCACGGCTGTCTCCTTGAAGAGTGACAACGTGTGGAGGAACAGGAGAAGTGGCTATCTCTTCCGAGACAAATGGCATCTTTGAAAGAAGGAATAACGATTTGTTGACGAAGTCGTTCTGGTCATCTTCCCTGAACTAAAATAGTACGTAATCACTGTTTCCTCTGAGTGAGTTATCCTTTTTCTAGTTCCCATTGAAATGTGCCGAAAGGGTGTGGATGGCAGACAACTGCCTGATAAAAGAAACTGCAGCTGCTGCAGCTTACTTTGCAAGACCCTAGCGCTCTTATCGGGTAACTTCCGTTCACGGAATTGCCACATCTATGATTATCCCTGGGGTTCTTCCTTAAAGACTAAAAGGAACGTTCACACGACTCAACCTGGGTTGCGCCTTTATTTGAATTTCAGAAAAAAAAATCGACGTCAAATTGATGCCAAACGGTTTCTGCTCCGAAAGCAAACCCCATAATGAATCATGAATAGGGCACCTCCCCATCCCTATTGGTGGCTCAGTGAAAATTGAGATTTCGCTTCGACTTCTAAAACAATGAATGGCCATGCGTGGATTGGGAACTCGCCATACGTCGCAAGTCTTTGAGACGAGCTTGGTCCACAGAATTACCGGCCGGGTGATGAGTGAATCAGCGCTTCCATTCGTGGTGTACGTCTGACATCATTGGTCTTTGAAATCGACCAAGCTACATATGAACAGAAACACCAGTCGGTGGGAGAGCGAGAACCCACTACTGGGTAGGGTTCCTGCCCACACCTCCATGACAGAGAAGGGAATTTGCGACTTTGTCATACTGTGTGCTCTAATCCACAATGTTGGGTGTCTACCAATATTCGCTCTGGGTAAGAGCCTCCTTCTTCGCTGAAACAACAAAGAGCTTGATGTGTCCAACTCTTCCGCTGGCATTTGCGATTATTATCATAGACGAATTTCCCGGAACTTAGTCAAAAGTTGAATTGTCTTCAAAACTGCATAAAGGGATAATTGAGTGTTCTGACCACGACTACGAGATTAGGTTCTGGCGCAAGGGCCTTTTATATCAATTCGACGCCGCTATATTTTATATATAAAACCTTCCGTACAGGAATTGATGATGATGCCAGATCACCCGTTTTGACACCACTTGCTCTCCTTCCTTGCTAAAAGCATTTGGATTTTGGATTTAAAACGCAGGAGCGAGAAATCGCGCACCAACAGGGAACAAACCTACAACTTACGCCTGCAGGGCGAGATCCCGACCAAGGAGCCACAACGACTGTGACTCCAAATAGGCCTCCTTTTGCCAAGTGAAGGCGCTATGAAGTTCTCGCAACACTTGGGGTGCCCATTTGTAATCGGCGTTTCACCAATATACGTCGAAAGTACCCCTGGCCAGCCTCGTTTCACTCAACTTTTTCTACCTCATAAACAAAAAACAAAAAACTGCTCTAAGCTGTACTGGTCGCGGTTTTTGAACTCGATCCTTTGAAGGGTGAAAAGTTACCTGATTGGAAACAAGGGCAGGGGTGGTCAGTGGAGCAAGGACAAAGGAGAAATAATGTGAAATGGCACAGAACCCTGCGACTTTCATCGTTTGCCCTCTTCAACACTACGCTCTCTCTGCTATCACGTATAGACCTGCGGCGAGTGATTAGATAGTCGGTGGGCGTTCCCCGCCAACCGCGCCAAAGGGAAGGCCATGCTAGATCGCCGGGGCATATCCTTCGATGCGAATTGCGTGTTGGTCCGCACCCTTAGGGGTCCGCCTGTCTCTCCACTAGGTAATTTCTCCTTCTTCGACCTTCGTTCTTATCGTGGAATCCTCCATTGAACCGCCTCAGCTTGTTGCTTCGTCTGCGTTCTCTCGCCTTATCAGCTGCGTGGTCTCACACATTCAAACTTTGGCCATACTGTAGTTGGCTCACCCACCTCGAAGTCCCTCCTCCTACAAGACTTACACCCACCTCGAAGTCCCTCCTCCTACAAGACTTAATCCCCGGCTCTCACCTTCCTCTAGTTCATAAATCAAGGTGTACTAGCACGAATGTGGCGCATTTTGCTAACCATAGAGTACAGTTGTTGCTTCCGCCAGTAATGAGAAAAAGCGTTGTAATGTCAAGTACAAAAAATAATTCATTCGCAACATACCATTGAGCGATTGAGTTCGTCAACAAACTCTTCCTTTGTCAGTGAAAGCAGCTGTTCTGCATGCTCCGTTGAAGTGGTCCATACTAGAGATGAAAGATTTGAGGTCAAAGGAAGGTAAGCTATCGGTCCTGCGCGACAAAAACGTTGCCACGCTACATCGTTTTGTCCAGATGCCTAAACTAGAACAGAATCAAATCCCAACATCTAAACACGTGAAGTTGAAATCTCACTCTGCCAGCGGATTATACAAGCAAAAATGATGTTGAAGTGAAATACAATACAATACACCCGTAAGTCACAACCCAAACTATGGCTTGATGCTAATGCATATAATGCGTCCTTGACGATCGTCACGCCGCGCGATTGAGACTTCCTGACCCGAATGCGAAAAGCGGCGTGTTACCAATGTATACTTTTACGCGCGACATACTATCGCGTTAAGTAGGATTACCAATTGACCCTTCAATTACCAAATAAATTGGGTTTACACTAGTTTATCTCAGTAGTAGCTGGCTTCAAATGACACTTCCAAGTGATTTCTGTGAAGAGTTCAAGAACAACATGTTCTCTATCAAATTATTTTTACTAATTAAATTTGACATTTCCCTCCCTTACATCGACAAAGTCTCGTTTGTAAGCATAGATTGATAACCCAGGATTCCCAGCATCCTACTATACATAATCCATTGAGCAATTTTATTTGTAGTGCATGTGCGTCTGTGTGTCTGTTTGTCTGGCCGTAAACTCATATCCTCGGTCCCACTTAGCCAAAGAGCGTTCAAAGGATGAACGAGTTAGCAGAAAAGACCCTGATGGTCCACAGTTTTGAGCACATCCTGGCTATCACAACATGAATGGCTACTAACCTCGACCACAAGTGTGGCCACAACACCACTTTGGTTGTATTTGAAGGCCGTGTAGTTCACACCCATAGACTGGCGAACCTTCGAATTTGCTCCATCAGCGCCTATCTGAAATTAAAAGAATGAGACAATCTCAACACAGAGCGAAATACAGCAGCATTCTGTGTGAAAGTAGAAAAACTTAGCGAAAGAAGAGATAGTACAAGGCCTAATAACGCCAGTTTCTGAAAGCCTCATGTCTACTATGAAGTGAACGCGGACAAAGGGCCCTACGGTTTGGGCTCGTGTTATTTACGCGAAAAATAGTATTTCTGCGTGAGCTAGCGGGAAAACACACGCGTCTGTTCCCTGTTGAGGCAACAACCCCAGATTGGATTGATGTGGTAAAAGCGGTCGATAATGAAATTGTGGATGGCGAGTTGAATGAAAATGAAAAAACGAAACCATCTTGAAAGGCTTGAAGAATCATTTCTATTGAACTAATCATGCCAAGATGGGTCCTGTGACAACCGGGGATATATCCCCGAGGTTGGAGAGAGGAGATGGGTCCCCATCCCTGGTTGGGGTTTGCTGCACCCGGTCCAGGTAAGAAGGGGAAAACACAGAAGAGAGTCACATATAGACGGCCGCTTTCTCGATGGCGCTAACCACCTCGGCCCAATATTCCCCATTCACAAACGCCCTCAAAAACGGTAGCAGCGTGTATGTCCTTGTGTTTTAGAACATACACGCTGCCACCGTTTTTGAGGGCGTTTCTGAATGAGGAATATTGGGACGGGGTGGTTAGCGCCATCGAGAAAACGGCCGTCTATATGCGACTCTTTTCTGTGTTTTCCCCTCCTTCATAAAGGTCTTTGATTGGGAGGCTCAAGTTGAAGGAGAAAGAACCAAGAAATGAAAGCGGTGAGCATGAAACCAATCATTTTCCTTTGCTTCTTCATATTCCTCCATTTTTGGCTGCTCTTCGCTACCTCCTCAACTTCAGTATTTAACCGTTCACCACACCACTTCTGAAGTCTAAACGGCACTTATAAACTGATCTAACAGAGGGAATGGAAGATGTTTCCCCGCAAAACGTACGTATTTTTGCAAATCGCAAAAGTTTTCGCTGTTTAGTGATTTCCTTAAATTCAGCTGCAGACAGGTCTTTCCTGCGCTGTCAGAATCAGTCAACGTTCACTTCTTCTGCATACTCCGAGGCGTAATTGAGCGCGATGTCGCCAGCAAAGCGGAACCATGTCTTCCCAGTTTGGTGTACAGTTATTGAGAAAGCGGTAGAGTTCGAACTAGTTGCTTCTTACTGCACGCCCCAATTCCTCCTGTTTCCTTGCAGGAACAGTTATCGTTAGAGCTTCGCAGAAGCTGCAGAAGCTCTAACGATAAATTATTTCGTAGGCATAACTAGCTAGGAAGTAGAAACGAATCGGACAGATTTAGGATTCTGTGTATCAATCTCAGTGAAGGCTGAAGAGGGTCATATACAGGGTCAACCGTCCGTTCGAACTGTTCGAACGAAGGGGTCGCATTTTGGTCGGAAGGGGGTCGCAATTTCGAGGACTGCCAGCCACAGGCGCGTGCGTGGCGTATCCGAGGGCAAGAATTGTTTGTGCAGACCGCATTAGATTCGATTAATTATGCACAGAGAGACAGTTTTGGGCAAATTACGGTGTTTTCCTTGAGGAATAGAGAACAGTTGAATGGCCATTCCCAATTAGAAAGGTTAGTGTTGAACTTCTCGGGCTTGGAAAATCAGATTCTGTCGGACCTAATTTTTTCTGAGGACGATCTCGTCCAGGGACAACTCGGTAAAACACAGTAAGAAAGCAGAACATCTCGGTGTCTTTCCAAAATGTCTTCGGAGCCCCCCCCCTTTAAAAAGCGAAGTTCTGTTGAAGGAACGGTTATTTATGGGCTGGGAAAGCCTCAAAACTCCGCATGAGGTTGTGCTGCAAAAAACGCGGAACAAAATGGTTTCAAACGCTGCGATGTGATTTTCTCGAAAAAATGAACTTTGAAAAACGGTTCGGGGCTTGTTAGAAAGAGCAAATCCTGTACTTTCACCCCATGAAAAAAGTGCATCACAGAAATGAAAATGAAGTGAGTTATGGTCGCTGAAAGCCCAAAAACTCGCTTTTGCACGAAAAATGTTCGAACGGGACAATTTTTTGAAAAAGGGGACAATCACTAAACTTTTTATACTATTTTGTTAGAGAAATATTTGAAGTTTCTAAAACTTTTCACAAATTTCCAAGATGTCGCATACGAAAGATTTTATGGCCTTCAAATGGTTGAAGGTGTGACGCCTTTCTGTAGGAAGAAAAAAAGAATTTTTTTGTGGGTTTTACCGCTTCTACCCAGATGGTACTTGTCCAAGAGAGTTGAGGCAATTCCTTTGTAGTTTATCTCTGAAGCGCACCTCAAGGCCACAAATCAAAATCTATCACCTCAAGCAAGCTTTCAAAAAACATGACGCTTTCCCAAGTAAGTGTTTCCCTTTCCTAACACACTTTTTTCTTCGCGCGTTCGTTTATTCAAGCCCGCGCGGGTGATACCGGCGCCGCTCAAGGCGACGCGAGCGCGCGGCATAACGCGTTTTCTGGCGCAAGCGGATTCCGCCCGCGTTAGCACTCTTATTTAACTAAAACAGGGGGGTTTCGCAAAACTCTGCGACCCCTCGAGAGCCCTAGGGATTCGCAAAAGACTCCCGAAACAATGGGTCGAAACCGGTGAGCGCGGTTGACCGCTGCGTCGAATATACCGTGTGATCTCGCAGGAGTCGCTTATGGCTGCTTAGTTAATCCGAGGCATCTGGCTCATTTCGGTGATAACCGCCTGACAGCAGTACATTTGCATGATCAAGAACAGAGCTGAGAACTTCCGAAGGGGGGAAAAGTCCTTTTACAAAAGCTTGATAGTCAGGCAATTTCTTCACCGCTGGTCCCGTCTTCGTAACGCCGAGATCGAAGCAAGACGGGAGCACTCTGAAAAAATTTTTTATCAAAAGCTATGATCTCAATGAGGGGTAAGAAAGTGAAATGTGTATGACAAATACTAAATAACGAGAACAAACTGGCCCTCACCTGCAGTTTTTGACGGAAGCTTCGGCTTTTACTTCAACCGTAGGGCAACCATTTCTTATCCTGTCGTATAATGCGCCGACAATAGCATTGTTTTCAATAATATATGCAATCTCTAGAGTGTACTCTTCATGTATTACAGTCACAGCTAACTAGTAAATTATACCTTGGTCTTTTACCGGCTGATCGAACTCTAGCTCTGCTCTAGAGCAATTATCTTATCCAAGACGGGTGTACTCGGCAGCGGAAAGGTATGCTGGACCTTGAATTAAAGGCATTACAATATTTCCTTAAAGAGGCTGGTTTCCATGAGCAACAGAACACCTTCATACTCACACGCAGGTCGATCATTCACTTTCATTGTACCTCTGGTACGCTTCCAACCGTCCTTCCAGAATTCACCAAGTATCACTGAATAGAAGAGTAAGTTCACTAGAATATGATCGTGAGAAAACGGATGAGATGATGCAAGAACAATGTGTTTCCTGCTTCCTCGAAATCGGGGAAAATATTTAAAACCGGTGTTCGGCCTCGGGGAGCGCCGGTCACAGGATGCCGTCCAGAGAGCTCGGCTCCTGAGTTCGTCACTACCTCGAGGTATTTATCATATTGTGCCTGCCGTTGTCGCGCGGGCTTCGAAAGTGTGAGCGACTGGGCGGCTCGAAAGTGTGCTACTGGCGCTTGAGCCTTACAATGTAATATGACGGCAATCAATATAAACTTACGGATGAGATATCCTCCCTTTCAAAAACGAGAAGAGCGTCGGGTGCAGACCATACACCACAAGTGACGACGGCCTCCACAAAATGTTAATGTTTTCTGCCAATGAAATGATTAGCCTGTTGCAGTTGTATTCTATCAGTTGTCACTAATTACAACTATCATTTACCAAAAATCAGCTATCACTATGAACCACTACTAACCAGATTTACTTGGAGGCCGTCGTCACTTGTGGTGTATGGTCTGCACCCGACACTTCTCGTTTTTTGAAAGGGAAGGTACATCGCGGTCGCTCTCACACGACGTGGATGGCATAGCGGATGAGGTAGCCGATAAATTGATAGATATGGTAGCATCATCGCATTGATGCGGCATTGTCAACCGTTGTTATCCCAATGAACTGAGTATGTTGCTTTGAGGGTACCGAAGGTGTTTGAAGTAACCAGAGAAGATTAGAACGGAAACTCGAACATGATGGAGCCCTTCACAGAGGAATCTTGAGGTCAAACTTGGGGCAGAATAAATACCATGAAGAAACTTTTTAGAAGGACGAAAAAGTGACCGGCTGGGATATATTCCTTACTTTTGAATAAATGTACAGCTGCAGGTCCGACCGCGGAGACACGATTGCTGTAGAATTCTGGCGGCGACTTCGGTAATGGACTAGGTTTTCCCGCTTCCAGTAGAAGGATACGTTTTGAGGATAGCTGTGGATTAAGCCCTGAAAAATTATTCCATATTGCTGACTTTCTGACCAGACACCAAATAAACTAAAATAATACAAAATAAAAGTAAGCGCTTGCACATCAACGAAAAATTATGAACGCTTTCTCGGTGAGCTAGCGTCTGAAGGTTATACTTCATATTACAGGTCACCAAATTTAACATGAAGTAATAACTTCAAACCATGAGAAGTCGGCTCCTCAGATCTCAGCACAGAACAATGAGCATTTCTCTGCACATTTCTATTCCCCAATGACACTCGAGGACCAGGCCTCCCATCGCTCTACCCCGAAAAGTGCAGCGCTACTCAGTAGACCTTGTCACCAGTAAGACTGCTGATAAGGGTGAAACTAAAAACACCGTCTGTGTTTCCGTTCTGCCACTACAACCCTTCTACCTTTTATTTCCTTCATTTATCTCTCCTAGAACTACGTCATAAAGCCAACTATAAACGGAGCTACGTAATAGAAAATGCCCACACAGCATATGTTTTCATAAAGACCCTCCACAACTGTGTCACTGCATGCTGAATTGCTTCGTATCACAAAACACCAGTTGCATCGTACAGCAACGATAATGAACATGGGGCGTATGCTATCCTTCCTCACATAAACTAAACATAAATATTCACATGAACTTAAAGTGGAAGATAGCATATGATTACAAAAACAAGGTGGCTCACAGTTCGGCAACTACCAATTAGATACAGAGATCGCGATTCAATTGGTGTGTCATTCCGCTCGAATATGAAACAATAGGCGTAAAAGGGAACGCTGGTGATAAAAAAAAAACACAAAAGCATCGAAATTGAAGGCCTCTTCTTCTTATGAAGGTGAATCCCGGTACGACGGTGAGGAACAGCACGGCAAACGCAAGAGAATACGTTGTAGTATAGGGTGCAGACACTGCGTATGATGTTGCGGACGACTAATAACGGCAACGGTCAAAGGAAGGCACACGCGGCTTTCGAGCCGCGACAGTTCCACAGACACTGTGCTTGAGGGATGTGCTATTCTCACTTACGGAAAGAACTCCTCTCAGTATGAATCGTGGCCTGTGCCTCCAAGCGAATTCGTGTAAAGGACGAGCTTGTTCGAATCACCCTAGCGCGAGTGAGCAGAATGAAGAATATGAATAGAAAACCTCAACATACGCTGTTTCTTATGGGTAACACATGGAAGAAAAGGAAACCAACCTAATGTACACGCCATTGCATTGCCCACCATTCCGCCACCTACTATTACAGCGTCATAAAACTGCGAGGTTGATGCATGGCGAACACCAAAATGGCACGAGCGACATCCAAGCAACACCGTGGCACCCAAGCCTCTCATTCTGAAAAAGAACACTAATTCAAACAAGAGAATTATTCGTGTGAGAATCGAAGGAAAGAGAGTACCCGAACCTCCATGGAAAATGTCCTTATCATTTGATTATAACATTCGTTCTAGGAAACACTTCGACCTATCGAAGGGTCAGCGAACAGCCTCCGGGTAAGATTCAGACTCAAACGTGCGCTACGCAAATTTCAGAATGTTTACGACCTCCCTCTCCCTTCCCTGGCCAAATGCGACCCCCTAGCTGTTTTTTGAACAATGAGCGCTTGTCCCTGGTAAGCTGGGACAGAAAGAGACTTTTTCGTTGTGCGATTTTTTGCTGCGGGAAAACCTACGCCCTCTCCTGCACATGAGGGACCCGTGATTTCGCGGCCCACATCCACATCCACCTTGACTCCAACTGTGTCGATTAATTTGTGGCCATATACTCCTGTATATCTTCTAATCCAAACGATGCGCATGCTTAGACATGCCCACGATATTCGTTATAACATCGCATGGCATATATTAGGTCATCTCATTCAAACATGTCCACGGTTTTATTCGAATAAAATGAACAGCAGGAAAGATAAAAAGCTAATACTTTGGTGTGGAAGTCAAGCAGATCTTGTCGTTGTTAACGACCCGATCCCAGCGTCTAGAAAACACTGGACACCGCGCAGCTTCTTCATTTCAACAAGTATAGACAAGATGCTTTTGATGTCAGTATAGTTATTGATCAGCGATATGTCGTATGCGCTTCGAACGTAGGTAGTGCTATTCAGTTCGATACCAACCCTCAGCTGGAGGGGGGTCGCTATGGCGCTGTGCAGTTAGGAAAATACGGCTGATAAGAAGAGGCCACAATATCCGTTTGATCGAAATACCCGTGAGCAATATGAGCTATGTAGGGTCTGGTATCGACATAGGTGATGATATCGTTATTGTAGTTTTATACTGCTATTCCTTTGTCAATTTGTTCGCTAAGAAACAAGCCATAAACTTGAGAAACGCCGGAGGTTTTTTCCCGACAGAGCCATTTAAGAGGCACACTCAGAAATCCATCGCCATAATAATCATCCACGTGAACCCACGTGACTTCTCGTGATCCAATTCGGGCAGTTCCTCATTCGCGTTAATCCAAAGTTGACACTTCTGACTTTGGCCTCAGCGTACAATTACACACAAATTTCGTTTATGAGCAGGGTCCAGTTTGATAGTCTTAAATGCCGCTATCGGCAGAGAAAATCATTGCTACAGACACCAATTCGATTCTGGACTCCTGCATCTGGGAGTAAATGGGATATCCAAAAACATGTTCTGTGGACCATCCCCAATTTTGGGCACAATTTGCGTAACAGGTGCAGCTAGACTGCAAGTCTCGTGGGCAAACATCGCAAAGGTTCAACATATGTGAGTGGCGGGCGATGTGAGAGATCTATTCATCCACCTCGCTCTGCTTGGGGATATAGGTGCGACTAATAGGGAAGGTCTCCGTCAAACCCACGAACTCGCTTCGTTCTCCCTCTTTGAAGCTTCACCACCATACTTCAACGTGAGCACTGCGAGAACTACTGTATTACGCGTAAGCTGGAAGCCATGCACTCAGCACACGAGAATTCGAGTTTGCGAATTTTACGTGTGTCACCAGTCATCTGGAAATTCCACCTCGATTTGGGTCACTATGAATTCTTTTATGTGTTTAAGTGTTTCCTCCTGCAGCACTATAAACTAAATTAGAGGTATACCGTAGCTGGGTGTGCTAGCTTAAAAGCAAAAGCAAGTAGAATGCTCTAGCTCTTTTACTTTTCCCACCATTTCTCTAGATGTCTGGACATGTTTGAATGAGTTGACCTAATAAATAATGGCATAATTTAAAGCGATACATTATACACAGATTAAAGATATGAAGGTCAAGAGAAGTTGGGGAAATTGATTAGTTTTTTGTGGGAGATTGGCAGATCGGTGGACGTCATGTGTAGGGTGCTGACCGAACGCGCTAATTGGCGCAGAAGATTTGACCACGTGTTGATAGCCACGCCTCGACCTGTGGACGTGATGGGGCGGGTACGCCCACACAATACAATCATCACGCGGCGATTAATTACGAATAGCACAAGAGACGTCGTAGTGTTGGAGAGGCACAGGCGATGAGAGCGATCAATACGCAAAATCAATGGGCAAAGCGATGAGTTGGAGGCCTCAAGTCTCGTGCCGTTTCGAATGGGCCGATGTCAGAGTCTGCGATTGGAGCGATCGGTCAAATGCCAATCGCGCGACCATCGCGCGATTCGCGCGACGATCGCGCGATTGACATGAGTCCCATCATGACCAATCGCTCCAATCGCGCGATGGGCGCGATCACTCCCGTTGTGGCAGGGAGCCAGCTCCGCAGTCAACGTATCGATCGAGGGGGGCGCGCCATTGATCGCTCCCTCCGCCACAACGGTATCGATCGAGGGGGGCGCGCCATTGATCGCTCCCTGCCACAACGGGAGTGATCGCGCCAATCGCGCGATTGGAGCGATTGGTCATGATTTGAGAAATGTGCCAAGCGCGGCGACCAATCGCCGATACAGACGGCATCGCTCCAAGCGCAGACTCTGACATTCGGCCACATGACGCCACGATTTTTTCGTTCTGCTAACATCGATGGCTATATAAATAAGTGCATAAGTTAAGGAGGAATTCGATAAGAACGAAGGTCAAAGAAGGGGAAAATTGCATGTTGGGAGACAGGCGACCTCCTGAGGGTGCTGACCGACGCGCAATTGGCAGCGAAAGATTTGACCTCGGCGATCTAGCATGGCTCACTCTTGGCGCGGTTGGCGGGGTACGCCCACCGACTATCTAATCACTCGCGCGAGTGATTAGATAGCAGAGAGAGCGTAGTGTTGAAGAGGGCACAGCGATGAGAGTCGCATCAATGCGCAAATCAACGGGCAAGGAAGGGGTCCCATTTCTCGGGTTTCGGGCCGTTTCAATGGTTTCTTCTTCATCTTGCTCCACTGACCACCTCTACCCTTATTTCCAATGAGCTAACTTTTCATCGTGATTTCTGCCTTTAAGGAGCGGACGAAATCCCTCGAAGCAGAGGGGGGAGGTGGGGTGGGGCGAAATAAAACGAAATTCGATGTAAAAGTGGATTTTTGCAAGGCTTATGTGGCCACGAGAAGAAGAATAAAAGTACCACATCACTGTTACAACTGCAAAAAATTGTTTCGAGATACGGCGACTAGCAAAAAAATGGAGTTTTGCAATACACAAGATTTTATTCATACGGCATCATCACAAGTCCGTAATTCCCTCACAAGATTCAGACCTTTTTCAAAACTGCAGCAAGTTTTACGCTGCGGAAATCACCGAATTTCGCTTATCAGACGATGCTCCAATGAAGTTTGGAAGCTACTGCACGTAATCTGAGTCCCTGCCCTCTTATCTAGGGATCTTCCTTACCCATTCGTGGTACCTCCCTTCCCCCGTAGAGGAATTTGCGAACACTTCGAACATTCCAAATTCGCCCCAAAATTCCCTCAAAATTTTCGTCAGTGAAGGAAAGGTAAATCATAAGAACGGCAAATTCCTACAAAAAAATTAAAAATAAATAAATACGCCCATTCCACATATTTCCAACATCACCTCTAAAACCCATATATCACCAGCTATCCTCACGAAAACAAACCCTCTCGTTAGGTTTGGAGCAACGAGCAAAGAGGCTGGTCTACCAACGACTCACAAACCCGTTCAAAGATTAGCTTAACAGGTTTTGAAGGGAGATTTGTGCTCAGCATTCCAAGCGCACACAGAAGTGCACTGATCATCATAAATAGCAACGGCTACCGAAATGCCTTCCGTGGTAAACAATGAGGTAAGTGCATAAAATAGACGCCGCGCTTCTAACTACGCAAAAATCCATGACATCTATCCCGAGCCGTCCATAAGCTCAATCTGCTGCTTTTATCTCCCTGTTCCCCTCTTGCCTGAATGAGCCCTCGCTGCGATCAGCCGTAGATTCGCTAGGAGAAAAAGCGGCTTTTCGCGTTTCGCAGCGCGAAACATTTCCCGCTGCGGAAATGCAGGTCCACGCATGATCAACGGTGCACCTGAGGTTTCCGCATCGGAGAATGTTTTGCGCTGCAAAACGCGAAGAGTTGCTTTCTATCCTAGCAAAGTAAACCCGGTTCTTGCGACTGCTGAAGCGCACTTGCAATAACGTGTACCGGAAGCAAGAAAGCAAGAACAAGTATGAAGGATCTGAAAATTGAACACTACTGCCAAATAAATCAAACAGAGTAGTAATTTGTTCATTGGATTATCAACAAACAAATTTTCGATATGGCAACAATACTAAACATACAATCTAACAATATAATTCTGTATTAGACATACAACCTATCCTGAGTAACCTTTACAGTTCTATTATTATAGCTAATTATCCTAAAATAACAGAATCGATCATCTTTGAGATAGCTCGAAATTTTGCATCAGAGTATCAATAAGTTTACAACATTACAGTAACGAGCAACACATAAAGCAACGTCACCTAGAAATCTTGCATTGCACAAATGAGATACAGAAAATCACACTCAGAAAATGACTAGACGATGCATGCTATTGATAACGAATACTGAAATCAGAATCTCCCCGATTGCCTGGCCCAAACAGTAGCTTTGTCCGAAGCAAATAACATAAGAGGCTCCACGCCCTGTTTGTTTAATATTACAACAATCATCTTCATTATTTCAACGTTTGCAGTTTTGGTAAATTGCTTGGGGGAACGGACCGAACAAGTTACACCACAGACAATGGACGGAAAACTTAGCAGCAAACTGTACGAAAATTACGAATCGAATCAACTGGGGATCAGTGTCGATTCCGCTGCTTGAAGAAAGCTGCGCTGTGTAAAGTGGCTACGATTCGCAATACAGATAAGCTGCTTTCTATGTATCTAGCTCTTCACAAAAGTATCCAACCTCATCGATGCTGTCAGGCTACCTGTACGCTTCGAAAGGCGTCTTCATATAAACAAATAGAGGAGATATTCAAGGCGGAAAGAGACAAACTGTTTGACTGTAAATGTTGGCGATAACGAAAGACTAAATTTTGAGCGGAGTTCTCCATTGTGCTGTCAAGGTACTAAGAGAGCGAATATAAGTGATAACATGACAATGAGTAGCTAGTTATATCGAACCATGTAATAATAAAAGAACCATAAATACAATTCTAATCAAAAATAAAACTAAACCTAAAAACTAGGGGCTCCAACAAATTTGCGGATTTCCTCATAGGACACCCAGAACGTGAGCGACCAAGGTGCCATCCGTATGTAACTTGGCAAAAAACCTTTGTACAACGAGAAGAATCCTTCATGTCGCACTATTTTCACAAAACAATCTATGCAGCCATTGTAGAGCGGTACATGCTTACTCTGCACATGAGCCCTGAAGTCCATTCATTGACATTGTTACAAATCTCGGAATCGCTGAATTAACTTACATTTTTCTATCCAGTTCGTGCCTTATTTGATCCATCATTCTTGTCTTCACCACATCAGATGGAAGTGAAACTATAGCGGCAGATAGGCCTGCGCATGCGCTTGCTAATGCGTGCGTTATCCAGTTGTCCTTTATAGAACAAAAAGTAGGGCGAGTTTTCGAACCAGTTTAAAAAGGGACGTACCGGTAGTTCGTAGTCTCCAAGCAGTTTATGTTTAACATAATCATAAGTTGCAATGTCGGCCATATTTAAGAGAGCGGCACGCTGACAGTTAGGTATCCATCCGAGCCACAAACCGAAGAAACCTAAACATTCTTTCCGATGAAGCTAACCAAAATAGTGTTCGCGTTGCAAAAAAAGTAGAAAATGAATGGAAATTATAAACCTTGAGTTCTATAGAGTGAGGCAAAACAATTCCATGCTCCGTGGTACCGCAACGGGAGGTGCTGGAGTTTGCGAAGGCCCTCCATCTGCATTTGTACCTTAAGAATAGAAATTTGAAACTAAACAGCATTTGGACTGAATTCGATGATAGCAAAGAGCAATATGACCACTGAACTCAAAGGGCTTTCTGCTAATGTGTAACATGCGCAATATTCAGTTAAGCTGGTACATCAATATTTCTGGCAAGAATGATAATATGGATAGCTCTTTCGAAGGAAAATTAGAGATTATTCATAGGAAGATTGTGTTGCACTGTTTTAGCACCTTGATGAAAGTTGGAAAGAAAATCACTGCCATAGGTGGAGAGGGGAGCAATTGGATTTGATTCCCAGTTGCACCATTTGATCCGCTCTGTATTTAGGAATTCTCTCCCGGTTTTTCGCAGTCATTCTATGATTTGAACTCAAAAAGGCATTATTCCTTTTTAGCTTGGTGAGGTTTTACAGCAAAGACCCATAAAGTTCAATTGAAATATACGAAAGAAATACAGAACTTTATAGTTGGCCACGAAATGCGTCTTTAATAAAGCAATGAGAACAAAAATGCATTTTCCACTTCTTGCTGTGGTTGTTGAATATCCCTTTTTTCCAATAGACAACACCCCGGTCCTTTCTCTTTTCTCATGAGTCCAATC